TCCCCCCCCCCCCAGTCCCTGCTTGCTGCCATCCCTGGGGACGCCGTGGTGTCACCTCGTCCCTTTGCTGTCCCGCAGTGCTTCATGAACGCGGTGCTGCAGTGCCTGAGCAGCACCAAACCGTTACGGGATTTCTGCCTGAGGAAGGAATTCCTCCAGGAGCAGCCGCCCGGAGCCCGCGGCCCACAGGAGCTCACTGAGGGTGGGTGCTGCCCCCCAGCCCCCAGGCGATTTCAATCCCTTCCAGAACCTCCATGCTGACCCCCAAGCATCCCTGCAGCCTTCGCCGATGTCATCGCTGCCCTCTGGCACCCGGAATCCACCGAGGCCGTCAACCCTGGGCGCTTTAAGGCCATCTTCCAGAAGTACGTCCCTTCCTTCACTGGATACAGGTGAGGCTGTGGGGCACCCATGGGTGCTGGGCGTTAATTAGAGACCCCTGGGTGCTCCCTGTTGGTGCCGTGGGGGGACCCAAAGGTGCTCATCCCCATGTTTGGGTGCCATGGGTGACCCCTGGGTTCTCCTTTTGGTGCCATGGGGCACCCATGGGTGCTTATCGCTATGGGTGGTGTCATTGGAGACCCCTGGGTGCTCCCTGTTGGTGCCATGGGGGATCCCTATGGGTGCTCCCCCTCATCCCCACGCTTGGGAGCTGGTAGGGGAAACCTGAGGCCGCTTCCCCTCGCCCCTGCGGTTGGTTTATTGGCACCCATGGGTGCTGACCCCCCCCTTCCCCCCCCCTTGCAGCCAGCAGGACGCCCAGGAGTTCCTCAAGTTCTTCATGGACCGACTGCACGCCGAGATCAACCGCAAGGGCCGCAGGACCCCCAGCATCCTGGCGGACACCCGGCGCAGCCCCCACCCCGAGGACAGCGAGAGCATGAGGTGTGGGGAGGGGGGACCCCGAGTGGGGGGGGCGGGGGGGGGGGGGGGGACGCCGTGGGGTCGTGGGGACCCTCGTGACCCCAAACTGCGCCCCGCAGCGACGACGAACGCGCCAACCTGATGTGGAAGCGCTACCTGGAGAGGGAAGACAGCAAGATCGTGGGTGAGCGCAGCCCCCA